TCTAATACAGCAACATATCTGTTTTCACGTTGCTTTGTTCTCTTTTGTTCAAATCCAAAATATCCCCATAGGTTTCTTGGTACAAAATGATACTGTAACAGAGACAGTATTTTTCCCCTTCGAAATAATTTCTGACATTTTCACTGATTCTTTGGACTTAAGGTTTGTTAATCTTTTTGAGTGTTTTTAATATTCTTCACCTTCAGCATTCTAGTGAAGGTGTATTGTATAGTTTACTGAGGCAGCCTGAGTATGCATTAAAGATGCTATGGTTGTCTTCCTGGTACTTTAGTATGTAGGTTGGTTTTTTTTTTTTTAATTCAAGCAAACTTATAATGCCCCTAGCAAATACTTATTCTATAAAAGACAAGGAAATAATATAAGAATACATAGCATTGCAAAAAGTTATGTAATTAAATGTTGGTGCTTTTTTTTATTTCTTTCTCGGGATGCTGAATACGTTTGGGAAGTTAAAGCAAGAAACATATATAGGCTCTTTTTCTAACTTTACCTTCCTCTTTCTATTGAAAGAGTTTGTGAGTTTGTATCTTCCCCTCTGAATAACTGTATAGGTATCACGTCAAGTCTGTTAGTTCATCTGTGGATTTCAGTGTGAAATACTTTCTTTTTGGATTTAGAGTGTGTCACTTGATGCAGGAAAGATGCTTATCACAGAAAACATATTACCACTTAAGACAGCTGCTGTCTGGCCTAGATGTCTTCATACTGCTATTTGAATAACGGTGCAATAACGTTGTTTTGTAGGAATCCCTGGAAAAATTCCTCCCCTATGTGGCAGGCATTGAAGTCCTTCAGTGAAACAGTGAGACTGTATTGAGGCTTGGCGTACTGAAAGGGGCACGTCTTTAGATTGCTGATTTTTCTGAGCCCTTTTCATTGAACGAATGAATTTTTAATAATGCTAAAAGACCAAGACAGTGGACTTAGAAGACAAATGATGAATGTGACTGAAGATGATGTTTCTATTTAAAAGACTCAGAGCTTCATATGCAGAACCCCAGAGCTCATTCAGATTTTTTCCTAGTATGGAGTATTTTAATTTTTTCCTTTTCCTATTAGAAGAAGAAGGGAAATATCAGTGAGCTGTGTGCTGTGTTAGTATCTTAGGATTATGGAGACACAAGCAGACCAGAGCAGTTTCTGATTTATGCTGCCTTGTGTTCACCGTCTACAGCTCATTTCCTAGCAGCAGATAGCCAGAGTACAAAAGCTAGCTAAGCCAGGGCTGGAAATGGAAATGTCAGAAGATGTGCTCTGCGCTTCTGGAAGATCTTTTAGTCAGAGCAGCTCTGCACTGACAGGTCCATCCGCTTTGCATCTCTCCAGTGTCAGGAGGGAGACAAGACAGAAAACCACGCAAATCCAGAATTGAGACTTCTGCATTTTGGCTCCATCCTCTTCTCTCTGCTGACTGACAAAAACTCTGTGATTTCTTATTCTGGCTATAGGCATTCAGGGGCGGATGTCTGGAAGCTTGTACTAAATGGACTGGCAACCCCTTAGTTTGAGGTTAAGCATGCACAAAACTGAATTGTTTCTTCCTTCCTGCAAGTCATTGCTTGCCCTGTTGGCAGGGCATGGAGGAAAGCTAGCCGTGCTCTTGCTGCCGCCTCTCTACTTTGTGGAGAGCAGAACTTAAGAATTTGCAAATTTGGGGAGAAAAAATACTGTCTAAAGCACTGTCCTCTAAATTATTGGAGTTTTGTAACCAAATCAACTGGCTGGTCTTGAAATCTCGGACAGAGTTTTTAGGGAGATACTATGTAGCTCCTTTAGGATCACTGAATTAACAATTAAAATACATTTCTGGCAATCTATTTAAACCCTCCCCTAACTGTAGAATTTCTTTTATAAGCATTTTCCAAGCAAAAATCTCTATGTACATAGCTGTTGTTATTTTTGCTAAGCCACAGAATTTAATATTTCATTCTTAGTTAATATACTAGAAAAATATTTACTTGGAGACGTGATTCATTCTGACTAATGGGATCAAGCTAATTCAGACCAAAGCTGAATAAAGAAATAAATTTAAAATTGTTTGGGGTTTGGTTTTGGGTTATTTTTGGTTTTTGTTTCTTGGTTTTTTTTAGAAGGTAGAATGCCCTGTGTGAAATTAAGGGCAGACAGAAATTAAGATAGGCCTGAAGTGAATCTGACCTAAGGTGACCCATCTGGCTAGCACTAGTCTCTCTAGCCAGTGGCCCTGAAAGGGTTGCAGTGGATCACATTCAGCTTACTGTTTGAGTACTCCTTTATAGCTAATTAAATGAGAGATGGTCATCAATGTCAGTGGGAAATGGGGCTTTGAATTCTTGGTGTTGCATCAGTAAGTGTTTTAACAGCTCTGCCATTGTCTTAATTTTAAAATGTTGAAGTACCTCCTTGAAAGCCAATCAAGTGTATAAAGAAGTAATTCTGTTTCATGCAGGATTTTGGTTATTTGTTTTGGTTAAAAATTAAAATGAAAGAATATCAGTATTTTTCTCCACTAAGATGTCAGCCTGGCCTCTTAGCTGTTATGCACTGTGGAAAAAATCGGAGGTCACCTTTCCCGAGAGGTCTGCCCAAATCTGCAGATCCTGGAGGCGCTCAGAGCTTCCAGCCTGCCACAGCCTGAAGAATGAGCTGGTCATAGCTCTTGGAGGTGATTCCTTTTTTCTTGGTAGCCCAGGACAGTCTCCTGGAGGCTGGATTTTAAGACCAGATCAAAAACTGGCTTCCTCAATAGCAGTCTGATAAGCTATTAAGGAATGAACTGAAGAAGCAGCATGGGATTGGATGGTCGCCCATGGCACCCATTCCTGGCTCCCCAGAAAACCTGCCTCCAAGTCGGGCTCCGTCGAGCATTTCAATTTCAACCAACCAGCCGATTAGAATGAAAAGTGGATTTTATTATAGTATGTTGAATTATTCCTAGCAACAAACTTTGGGCCTGGAAGTCATAAATGCATTTTTTTCTTTGGTGACTAAAAAGAAAACTTTGTGGTTTTCCCCTGAAAATGTTAAGGAAAATTCCTGCTTTAAAATGAGATGCATCTAAAGCATGTGTGTAGACTGTGGGGACATCTACTGGGGTGCTGGGAAATGGCAGACTTCAAAATGTGTATTGACGGTGGAATGATTCAAGTGTGAATATGCCAAAAATTGTTAATATTGCAGCATTCTCTCGAGGCTGAGAATTTCACATTTTAGCCGCAAAGGAAACCAGGTGCCTGTAATGCAGTATTTCCGTGCTAATCGCTCTAGGAGAACACTTAAGACCCGTATAAGCACATCCAGACATAACCCTCTTAATTTAAAAACTCTGTATTTTGGTCATGTAAAAAAATCTGCAGAAGAGGAGAGATCTCTGGAAATTCCTTGTAATCACGGGTGAGCCAAGAGAAGCTGGCGTCCTGTGAGGCAGACCCGACCACATAACAGCCTTTCACGGCTTCCTGTGGTACCCTCGGGATGGAAATGCTTTTCTTGCAGCTGGAAATGAAAAATGGCCTTCCCTCCTGTCTACCAGCTCTTGCGGTGGCCGTCCGAGGACCAGCAGGGGAGCTTCGGTGATGGGACTGGCACAGCCACACGTTGCCACATTGCAGAATCGTGGCCTGAAATGTAGCAGCGGATTTCTCATTTTTGTTAAAATTAAGCAAAAAAGCCATTAAAAAACTAATCCCGGCTTCAGTCTGATAGCATACACAGTCCTAAATTGAGCCAAAATTTGTCAAATTCATAGACTTTGGTGGAATTGTGGAATGAATTCTGTTCCAATACTTCAGTATAGTCTTAATTAACTTGCAAAGATTAAGGAAACTTTCATCTTATCAGTTGGAAAAGATGTGGCTGGGGAGATGATATATATCTGTTCTGCCTATTTGGTCAAAATTACATTTAGCGTTCCATTTTCCTCGTGTACTTCCCTATATATCTGTATAATCTGCTTCTTGTGTCTCAAATTGTAAGATGTTTGAGGGGCTGGCGCCGTCTTCTAGATTTGTGTTTGAAAAGTGCCTTTGCAGTGATGTTTTCTGCAGGCACGAGAATAAAATGAGGGGTGGAGGTGTATGCATTTTAAACTCTTCTGCTGAAATTTTCAGATGCCTGTGTACAGACAGAGGTCCATGTATTTAGACAGCTAATGTAATTTTCACCAATTCTGTCCCCTTCTTTCCCCGCACTCCACGTTACTTACACTGAGCTCAAATCCTGTTTGCAGCCCAGTCAAGGTCAATGATACTCTATAGCCCTTTTTCCTGCATCTATCATGTTCCATTTGGAAACCTTGTTGGGCATCGATGGGTGGAAATTGCCGGTATAGATTAGGGTGAAAGTTGTTTCACAGCTGAGTCAATTTTGTTAATGCAAAAATGGTGCACCAGACATCTGGTTAGAATTATTTTTATTCCATCCTTAAGAATGAATGACTTAAATATGAAAAATGTGGAGCAAAATATGGGCTTGCCTATAGACTATATACTCCTGCCGTATAGTCTCTATACTTTTAGACAAGAGCAAAGCTGAAAAAGCTAGGAGAAATTATTTTTGTTTTGCTACGTTACGAATCACCCCCGCCCTGGTGCATCCATACTGTTTGCTGTATAAATATATTTATGCTTTATCATTAGTAATTTTAAGCATTTGACCAAATGTTAACGGGTAAAACAGCTTTAAGAATGCTTCAAAGAAGAAATTAATGATGCTTTCATATAATTGTTATTACAGTGGCATTCTACAGCTGTTATGAATTTAAAGTAAAAATATTGAATTTAATTTATCTACAGCTTAGAGAAATAGATTAGTCCTAAATTACCCTAAGCGTGTTAGCTGTACACAGTGTAACTTTGTCTAATATGGTATTTGGTAATAGACACAAAAGCAGAAATGAAAATAGGACATGTTAAACCAGATACTTTGTAAACTGATTATCCTAGGATATTAGGTTCCATTAAACTTATAATAAATCTCTCTCTCTTTTTTTCCTTACTCAGGGGCGTGCCTCATTAACATCTGAGAAACAACGTTTTGCCCATGAACATGGTGAAATGAAAAATCTAGAAGATATTGTTAAAGATATAAAACCATCCGTGCTAATAGGTAATTTGTTTTACTTTAAACCAATGACCTTATTCTTTGTTGGAAAAAGATGGGGATGTGGCTTTGTCTGAAGACAAGATCAAGTTCCTCTGAACAGAGTTTACCTTTGTGTGTTTTTAGAAAACACTAGGTGCATAATGGACTCTGTTAAGCAACTGAACAAATAGTAACTATCCAGGCATGTAACACTGCTTTCACTCCAAGCCATCCACTCTACAGGGGGAATAATCCAAGCTGGTTTAAACATCTGATGGAGAACCTTATCACCTTCCTAAATTACTTCTGATTTAATGTGGGTGGTGTAATACAAATAACCTCACACTTAGACTGAGAAAACTGAGCTAAGCACATGTAAAGCTGTGCAAATATGAGCGTGCTGTAGCTGAATCTTCTTCTCCCTCATGCTTATGTCCTTAGCCACCAGTCCTTTGTGCAGACCAAAACACAGATTTTACAAAGACTTTTATAAAAGCTGCAGGATTTGGGATTTCAGTAAAGGATTGCTCAGCTCTCTGCTGTTTGGTTATTATATTTCAGTGACACTTTCAGGAATGAACTGCAAATACTCTTAAATAATTTTTTTAATTTGTAAGACTTGAAAATTCATCTATCTGGCTAGTGAAATCATTTATCAGATGCTGGAAAATCTGAAATGCCACAGTGAAAATTATCCTAAATTTTAAGAGCTACCTTTTTGACTATGCGTAAACCATATGGTCCTTGTTGAGTAAAATCTGCTTTTGACAATGATCATGAATGAGGTAAATAAAGCTTATCTTTTTCTATGCTCCATAAAGTATGACTGCAAGACAGAGACCAAGGAGTCTGGAGAATTTATTTAGTAGAATACAAGGCTGAAAAAGCTAGTGGAACAGAAGAATAGATTGAATGATCTGTGATATTTATCTAGATAAAGGTGTGTGGATGCTTAGGGAGTGTTTGCTGTCATGAAATATGGATGTTTACTGTGTGTCATTTTAATATATAAATCTATGCAGCGCTTTCCCGCAAGGTCACTTTCTCCTACCCATACTGCATAATGAAGGCTCTTCCAACAGAAACAGCAATGAAAATTAATATTGGGATTTTTTTCGGTTTGGAGGACTAGTCATTCAGTATCTTCCCCTGGGCATCAGGAGTCATGGGGAAATATGTTGATACTCCTTCTCCCAATGTTTTACTTAACTCTTGTCTCAGCGAATGCTCATATACATTTCACTGCCTGCGATGGCTCAAGGAAAAGCCTTAGTTTAGCTTGGCCAAATATAAGAAATTGCGATTTTAAAACGAAAACCAAAAAAGAAATAGTGAGATTGTTCAGGGCATTTTGTTTTAACTTTATATCTGAAGATAGTTGTCATTCTTACTATTGGCTGTCCAGAAGCAGTTTTAGAAGACATTAAACATTTGGCAACTGCAGACTTAACCAGAAGCTAAGGTGTGTAACAGGCTCTTATACAAGTGGGTCAAAATCATGACTGCCATAACTGTTCATCAAACATAGAGTGGCCCAGCTGATCTAGCAGAGCTTTTGCACCTAAGCATCCTTGTCCATTCATAGAAGGTGAAGTACAGAGAGCTCAGGTTTGTAAAAAAAGTAGTATGTGACAGAAATGTTTGAGCAAGAGTTGTTTAAACTTTGAGAGAAGTCACTGATTTGCATCAATTGAGAAGTTGCCTCTTTTGTTACCAAGGGATCAGAATAAAGAAGATTTGGCCAGACGCAAAATCAAATGGGTCTTAGACATTATTTGGCCCACATTAAGCACCTAAAGAGCACCTAAAGAGCCTGTCGTAGGATGCTTGGGCTTTCAGTAGACCTCTTGGGAAAGCTCAACTTAAAACAATTCAGGAAATTTCAGTGGGGCACCCACCTCTCTGTCGAGGGCATAGGCTGTGCTTGAAGATGTTCTGTAAGGTGATACCATGCTTCATGTAGAAGCAGTCAGAAAATACGCTGAGACACCTTTAAGAAATGTTAGTCCTGGAGCATGTATGACCTTCTAGCCAGCTCTGCAAGGTGAGGACCCCTTTCACCTCCCTCCAAGTACCTTGTGCTCTCCTCGGGCAGACACCAAGCTTATAGTGGGCGATGTTGGGATGCTCATTTGTGCAGGTTAGAGCCCTGACCCAAGAGACACCCTCTCCTGGCCCGGGTTTGAATCCGTTCCTACTCTGCCAAGAGAGGGAACAGCAGCTTCTTTCCTGCTGTTGAAACTCGGATGCTGTGTGGAAAGCAGAGCAGGGAGCCAGGCACTGGGGCCTCTGAGCAGGAAGGAGGCTACCTTCTCTACAAGCTAAGTATTGGGGCCTCCCTGGGCATAAAGATCCTTAGGTTTACTCCAAGATCTGTTTTTCTGTTTTTCGCTGAAGGCGTAGAGAGCAAGGACCTGATCCTTGGATCCCCAACTCTTGTAGGTTAGGCAGAAATACAGGTGTATTGGCATCTCAAAAACATCACACACACATTTTTGGTTGTAAGTACAGTATGGAGAATGGAAAAGCATTTCTGGTGGGATTGAAAGGGCTGTATTGAAAAAAGCTGTTACTGTCAGGGAAGCCTTAGACTCAAAACTGGGATTATTCATCAGCTGAGGCTGGAGGTGACAGAATGATCAGCTGTAGAAGGCAGAACTTTACTTGTCATGTCAGAAAAAATTGAAATCTGACACACTGGATTTGGGAGAAACTATCCAGTCTGTTGCATGAGACTTTAGGAGAGAGAGTTGTACCTTTCTACTCCTTGTTGGACTTACCTGCAGGTTAGGTGATACATTTCTATTTTATATAAAGGGCCTGAGAAAAGTGAAGCGAGAAATTCACCAAACTGTACAGGGGTGAATAGGTTCTGTCTTATGTTAAGGATAATACTGAAGTTTCACTGTTGCAAAATCTTTTATACAAAACTTTATTTTAACCACATCCTAGGAAAAAGGTTGAACTCCGTTTTAAAGAGGGAGGTATGCAGTAAAACGAGCTCTGTTCTTTTAAAAGTGGCATGCGTGTCTTACCTTGAACTGATTGCATTTGTCTGCTTGTTCTGTGTGTGTTTTTCTTCTTTAGGAGTTGCTGCAATTGGTGGTGCTTTTACTAAACAAATTCTTCAGGATATGGCTGCTTTAAACAAACGTCCTATTATTTTTGCTCTCAGCAATCCTACCAGCAAAGCAGAATGCACTGCTGAGCAGTGCTACAAATACACAGAGGTAACCAAAGATTAACAACACTTCAGTATATGTAGTGAAAAGTAAATATGAAGTTAAATTTAAAATGGGAGGAAGACAGAGGGTGAAGTAGCAAGTACTAATCATGTCTCTGTGTGTAGATAAACTGAGTTAAATTAAGTAGCAGGTTTTTCAGATTTTATCAAGACAATTTCACTGAAGTCAATACATGCTTGCACCCTCATAAAAACATTTAATAGCTTTTATTGGTGTCAGCCAAGACTCATAGTCTTTATATATAACTGAAGCATCAGTAACTGTCAATCATTAAAGCCTTATGCCTGTTTTTGAACTGTACCACTTTGTGTAATATATACACACAGTGGCATGCTTTTCATTTGAGATTTTATAAATACTCTTTAGGGTAAGAAAATACTTCAATACAGGAAATAGAATCTTTAAAATAATTCTTTATTAAGAACTGGGGTAATTGACTCCTTTTACAAAGATTTCTATTGTAGAAACATAGGTGAAAATTAAGAGAACTGTGCTTGCTTATTTATTATTGTATTATAGAATGCTAATAAACACGTTATCCTGTAATTCAGTCTAGAATTTGAAATGTATGAGTACTTGACTGTATGTGTTTCATAGTGGATTGTGTTTGGATTTCTTGTCAAATACAGGGCAGTTTGAATGACAGTTTCACAGTGTTTAAAAGACAAATTTAGCATGCCAGTTCCCCACTGCAACAGTACACAATTACAGCGCAATGCAAGAGCCAGGGGAGCAGCCTACATGAAGGGTTGGTTATAGTGCATAATGACATCTGGTAGGCAGAGCAAAAGACACACTGAAGTATTTGATCTGTCACCAAAACGTATAATAAGCCGGCCATGATAATACTGCATGACACCAAACCAAACAGAATATTCTTCTGAAGAGCTGAATAGCAACAGTGGCATATTTTAAAATGCACGTTTCCAGTTCTCTAAAATAGGCATAGATATTTCTGATACAAAGCGCCTCTGAAGCATTTAACAGTGACATTTATCACTTCCAACAGTGCTAGCATAAATAAAGGCTGGCTTTTCTTCCCCACCTAAATTTACTGCTTAAATTCGAGGGTGCCCCCTCCCCATCAAGGCAATAGCCAGGGGCCTTTGGGCTGCGGATGTAGAGCCTGTGCAGTGTCACTCCCCTCATTAGTCCAAAACTGCATTGCCTGCTGTAGAAATTACTTCTCTCTCCCAGTGTTATCAGGAATGATCTGAGGAGATAGTAGTGCTGCACCTCTGAGGTGCCTCTTCTGCCACCCTTGAACGGCACTCGGTGGTGCCGGCATCTGCTCCCATCGGGGTGTTCCTCATCCCAGGGGAACAGTGAGACTCCATCAGACTTGCAGCTCCTTTGCAGCCCATCTCTTGGTACTCCAGTGGCATCACAGCTCTGAACATGCATGCTACCGAATGACACCAGGCCTAATATTCCTCTTAGCTAATGTTAAGTTGTTAGCAACATGAGCCCTGTCACCACATCTGGGCCACCCCACAGGCTTCTGTTCCTCCCCGTAGCTGCCTGATGTGTGCTGTGTGCCAGCGTGGAGCTACGCCTGTGTTTGGGTCCTGGGAAGAGATATAGAGGTCCCATGTGAACTACAACATACAATGAGTTAGAGCCAGTTCTCTTGTCCTCAGGACAAGTGATATGGTGTAACTTGCATCTGTACAGCTAAATTCTCTTAATTATGCTGGCTCTTCCAAAACATGCTGGCTCTTCCATACTGCCTGCTGGGACCAATGTGTGCATGGTGCCTGAGCCCTAGTGGCAACAGTGCTACTTGGCACTACCCAAAAATCTGCTGGGAAACATCCTAGTAGTTTATCAGTATTGGATGATCACATGCTGATGCCTGAGTTGGTGCCCTCACCCTGCTCAGTATATTGCAATGAGGGGAGCCATAAGGTCCCAGAAGAGGACACCAACTTGTGCTATAGGTTGCACCATGGGATGACGTTCCTGGGACAGAGCTTGCACCTCTGTCATTCTGTTGAGCTGTGGAGTGGGCGCAGAGGCCTGAAGAGGGGGGACTGGGAGGAACAGAGAGCTCTGCCTGTCCCCACAGCTCCTCAGAAATTGCCACATCCAAAAGTGCAACATTTAGTGGCCTTAGTGTCATTTTTGTGGATGATGGGCTGTTGGGAAAAAATCCAGCAGCATCACACGTTGTTACCATGACAGTATTGCCCACTTTGAGTTATATAGCTCCAGGTGTATACCTTCTTCCCATGTACCCTTCTTCTGGCATGGACGCACCAAGTGAATAACGAGTGCTGGCTTCCACTTCCTCCTCCTCTAAATAGTGCTGATAGCTCTTACCTGAATAAGGCAGCTGTTACTCTCTGACGTCAGATAGTCACAGAGAATTGCCTGTGATCTCTAGGATCAGCATCCTGATGCTCTTAGACATATTCAGTTAAGTAGCTCTAACACCCTCTCAGAAGAGATATTAAATAGATGTAACCCAGCTTCCACAGTGGTAGATAATTTAAAGGGATGTGTGAAATACTTCAACAGCATCCTCGCAACTAACGTGCTTTCTTTGGCTTTCTTGTTACAACTTAGGGTCGTGGCATTTTTGCCAGTGGAAGTCCTTTTGATCCTGTCACTCTTACAAGCGGACAAACTCTCTATCCTGGACAGGGTAACAATTCCTATGTGTTCCCAGGAGTTGCCCTTGGCGTTATTTCATGTGGACTGAAACATATTGATGAGGACGTGTTCCTCACAACTGCTGAGGTATTGTATTAAAAATTATTTAAATTCCTTAATTTACTAACTTGGTAAAAATGAACAATTAAACAAATAGTTAAACATTATCTTTTAAATTGGAAAAATAGTGCTTTCTGTGTAAGGTCTTTATTTGCAAGGTATGTTGTTTTTTATAAATTCTATTTGAACAAGTTGTTTTTAAAAAGTTAATACTTGCTGCAAAGGTCATCTGACATAAACTTCACCTTCTGTTGGCAAGGAAAAAAGAGAAAGACTTCAGTAGTGTACTATCACAGGTGAATGCACATATGTACAGTTTGCATACACGTGTACATAGGTTTGATTTTAGATTGAAAGGAACTATATTTTGATGTTGGTAGCTTTGGGGTGACTTTGGTGGGTGTTTTGCTTGCAAAAATTATTTGAATTTCTTTTAGCTTTTTAGCTTTTTGCTATTTTGAGTAGAGCTGTTGGCATCATTTTTTGTGGACCTCCCTTGTCAACAGCTGGTGAAAGTGCTCCATTGCCTTGTGGTTCCTTGCACAGTTTGACAGAATTGCTGTGTTATTCTTCCCATTTTCTTTCTTACCCTTTTCGGCATTGGTTCCTTTCTTTCTTCAGGCAATTTTTTATGATCTTTGTTCTGACGTTATCCAACATGTGATCTCTCCTCCTTTATCTCCACTCAGTGGGCAAGAGATGAACAGAGAGCAAACACTTTTGGTTCTAGGAGTCATTCACCACCTACTTCCAGTGATTATTCAAAATCTGACATCCACTGTCTTACAGTAGGACATCATAAATGCACAGGGTTATATCTTCAACACATATGGGAGAAGAATCTGGCCTTTGTTATTTTAGAATCCCTTATTCAAACAAAATAAATTACTAGCAGTGGTTGAAATCAAATGCTTAAAACAATTTTTTACAAAACAATAGGTCAATCTTTCTGCAGCTGTTTCTCACTTAAGACAGTTGTAACTTTCTGTGCTTTTCTGGGTCCGGCATCTTTGCTCCTCATCCACTCCAGCGCCATAGCACCCTTACTTACCACTCCTCCCTCTGGCCCTTTCCATCTCACCCTCTTCCTGCCCTGTCCTGGAGTTCCATTGCCTCTGTTGGTTCTGCTCTTGGCTGGCCACCAACATAATGAGCCTCACAGGACTCAGCTTCCTTTGACTGAGTGATGTGATATCCAGTGATGCTCAAGCTCCTGGCTACTCTGCTCCCAGGAATGTGCTTCCAAGCTCACCCTGCTCAGAGAGAGCCCAGTACAGACAGTGATTAGAGAGCCCTAAGCAGTGCATGATGGTCTGACCATGTCCAAGCAAAGTCATTAAAAGCCTGATGCTTTTTGGGTTTTTTTAAAGGGTATGGAAATAAGGAAGAAGGCTAGCCTCAGTTTACTTAGATGCACTTCAGTGGTAATTTCTATCCAGTCCAGTTGATATAAATTACAATCCACAGAACTTCATGAAAGTGCAACGTCCTAATCTTCAAAGAAGCTGTGTAAGCACGCTTGGAAATACTGTATGTAGCACACAGAGGAAGCCTCAAAGCAATGCAATTAGCAACTATTATGGAGCAATAAAAAAAAAAAAAGAGAAGAAAAAGAAGTTGCCCCAATTAGCAGAAGCGAGAATGCCTGACTCAACTTTTGCACCTTTTTTAAGGGATATTGCATTCCAGGATTCTTGCTCCTTGTGTCCTCTTCATGGATTAAAGGGAAGAAAATGGCCCTTTACTATCACTTGGAGGCAACTGATAGGCAATGTGATCCTATGACTGGCAGTATGTGATATGAAGCTTTCTTAAAGGATGAGCACTTGCACGCTGCCCTTGCTGGATTTCTGAAGGTTTTTTTTCAAGGTGCGTACTATGGCATCTTTAAAAAAGTTTGCCAGCAGCTTGCCCTCTATAAGAAAGATATTCACAATTTCCATCTTTAAAATTAGTAAAAAGCCCAGACTGTCTCCACTGGCTTTAACCATCTTAGGAGGGCAATGATCCATCTCGTAAGTCTTTGGATAATTATATCCTCTCTTTAAATCCTTCCCTGTAATTTCAGTTGGATACGGTGATCCTCGCTTGCTGGTCTAAACTGCTGTGTTAAACAGTTGTCTTATTTCATTCTAGAACTTGCTTCATTTTGGTTTGGGTGAAATGGTTCCTATATATAGAGTGCTGATGGATGAAAGGTGACACATGCGGATTGAATGATATTTCAAGTGGCAGTCTACTATGTCAGAAAAAAATCTGTTTGGAACAAAGAAACTTAACCGAACAAAGAAATGTAACAGTCAGGAAAGTAAAATGGTATCAGAAATTGTGAGGAAGCTTTTAAATTCTCTTTTGAGGTAGAGCTTCTCTCCTGACTCTTCTTCTTCAGTAAAGGTTTTGCTACATAATTGCCATCCTTTAGTAAAATCCCTAGAAAAGTTTGACATGTAAAAGTGTATTTTTTTCTTGCATAGAAAGTCTCTGTTAGCAGCAAGATCAATGGAGAGCTACTCACCTTATGGCTGGAGCTAAGAGCAGTCACATCTCGTCTCCCTGCTTGTGTGAGAGGCAGCATGTGAGTGGAGCTGGGGTCAGCTACAGCCAGTTACTGAGCAAGGCGACAACTGATGGATTTCAGAGGAGTCTTTGCCAGAAGAGGTGTCAGGAGTGTGAAGGCCAGGAGGGCTGCATAGGCCCTTAGCTGAAATTACAGTACAAAGCAAACGCAAAAGTGCTTTTTGTTTTGTTTTCTTAGCTTTTTTAATGGAAGGATAAAATCAAAATAGTTGCATGTGGGTTTTAGAATAGTGGTTAGTATTCTCCATTTGAAATGGAAGCACCCAAGATGCTGCAAAATTTAAAGCACCAAACCCACGCATTTTAGACAGAGGGACCTTCTCAGATTGTAGCAGTGGCTAACCCAAAAAAAGAAAGTATAAAAAATAAGCAGCCCAGGCTGCATGCCTGCACCTCCTGTCTTCTTGCATTGCCACCTCTCCAATTAAATCTGATAAAAGTCACAAATAGCTTATTGTAACTACAACGAATTCTACTTTCAGTGTTCTTTTCTTCCTGCCAAGTAAAATAGAATGTAACTTCGATTTTGGATGATAAATCTAAGGTACTGTAAGCTGTAATACCTCTTAATTGCAGGCAATTGCTCTGTGATGACAAGGGACATTACCTATTCTTCTAAGTCTTACCAAATGCAACAAAAGGGACAGAGAATTATGAACTAATGAAATATTCTTGGCGTGTGTGACCTACAGTTAAGTTACTCCAGAAATAATCCTGTTAAATCCGTTCATTATAGAGAATACGTCCTCCAAAAGCCAAAATGCCCCCACTTGCTTTACAGCATTTGTCCTGTCTTGGCTGCCTTTCATTTAGGTTCTGCAATAAGGCTTAGCTAATTTCTCTATTAAAAACTTGAATTAATTAAAATTTAAAATATGAAAATAGCCATACTGGGTTGGACCTAAGATATCCAAACAGCTCAATATCTTCCTGTGAAAGCGATCAGTAGCAGAACCTGAGGAAAAGAGGATACATAAGGGGAAAACACAGAGTGATCCTTCTACTGAAATGGCTTTTCAGCTTCTGGCAGCCTGTACTATATGGCCTTCCTGCGCTGGAAGTTTTATCACTGTATGGATTTCTCTTTCATAAATGAGCCTAGTGGCTTTTTAAACATGTTTATATATTTGAACATCTTTTGGCAATTAGTGTCACAATTTAATTATGAGTTCTGTGGAAAAAGAAACTCTCCTCTTATGATTTCCTGCTGTCTGATGATTTGGGTTCCCTATAGTGCCATGAGAAATGTTCACCTCCAGTTGTCTTTTGTATTTTCGTTCAGTCTTCTCTTTTTTTCTCCCAAGTCTATTTTATTATTTTTTATCTCCTTGTACAAAAAATAACTTTTGATCATCCTTGTTATTCTTTATACCCCATTCTTGTTTGAAGTAGGTGGAGCAAAAATTCACACTGTTCAAAGTGGTGTTACATTGTGGGTTTATACATTGGTATAATTACATTTTCTGTGTCGCCTCTTATTTTCTTAATAATTCCAAATGTTGATTCATCATTTTTTCCCCTGCCACTGAACTGATGTTCTCAAGGAGCGTTTTTCAGAGACCACATGAAGAAGGTGTCATTCTCTTTGAAAATGCTTGTTTCTGTGTTTTTGCATAGTTTTTAATGCTGTTGGACGAGTACATCAGAAGAAATAGCATGGCATCTATATAGTTAAGCTTGCTACCTCTCTCACTTCAAGCACTGCCCAAATGTTTTGTGGTTTGCTTTCTATCAACCCCATCACAAAACAGAAGTACTCTACGGCTGAACCTTTTTTTTTCAGTGATGCATTACACTAAGGGCAACTTGCTATTGATTTCTTCAGATTTCATCTTTCCTGCAGAGCCTCGTTAAACTGTTAAGAGCAGAAATCTCATGTTGTAAGCTCCTCTTTACACATTCAGATGCACATCTTGTTTTATCAAAGGGCTGCATATAATTTTTAAATAACCTAGTTGCTATTATGGAAAGCAAAAACTAGATTTTACGTTGTCTTAGCTCCCCCTAGTGGGTTTTTATCTCTGCTGTATTTCTCAATATCAGATTAAAATGTAAACAAATAATTTTCCTTTACTCGTTCAAGAGTATAACCTCTTGTTGCTCTTGTTAGCACTTCCACTCCGAATGAAAAAACTGACTACACCTACCAGCACGCTGGGTAGATTGCAGAAGAGAACATTGTTTCTCTTTGAACCTGGAGTTACTGTAGTGTTTGCTCTTTAATTCAAACTATTTACCTACTTTTGCCAGAAAGGATGAATTGATGATAGCCAGGCACCTCTTCTGATGCAGTCCTAGTTGTTTGCAAGCAACGTACACAAGGTCCTATTTCGCACATGCAACAGGAACTGTAGGAAGCAGTTTGTGCTCTCTTTCAGGTATCTTCCTAGCAGGTTCCCTCAGAAGTGCACTTCTTGCTTTCTCTTTGGGCCATGTTATCAGTTTCATTTCACAGTGTTTCCTGGACTTCCCTGGTGTTTTCAGAACCTCTTGATGGGTCATACATGGCTCCACCACATGCTATCCACACCAGAGTTTTCCTTCCATCCACAGAGTACCCCTACAGGTCACATCACACAGTAGTATCCCTACACTCCTGGATCAGTTAGTGATTTGGTTCTAACCTTTTGTTATCTAAGCTGTAATTGCACAAAAATGTATCATCTCTCCTGATGGGAACACTAAGGTTGCTTCTACATTACTCTTCTACTTTGCATCAGAATGGTCTTCCGGAGCACATCTCCCTGGTGTCCCTATGTCCTCCACCTGGTCCACAGTGTGGCATGGTTTTGGGAGGAGAGGGGGACTGGTTTCCTTTTGGATGAAACTAAACGGAAGGATACACTCCAGGAGCAAGCCTAATGTACTAAATATCAATGGAAACTGCTTATAAACTGTAACAGATTTAAGAAGTATGAGCTTGCACTGCACAAAGAACCTCCTGTGACTGTTACGTGTTCTCAGCTGTTCAACGGGCAAGTGACATCCCCTCCCCAGAGTAATTTCCTTTCTGTCCCAAAGCAAGATAGAGAAATTTGGATTCTGCTGATGCAAATCTCTCTTAATGTTTTTTAATAATTTCTTTTGAGAATTGTCATAGAGAATGTTAGTGAAGGTAGCTATTAAAAACTGCATAAAGTCAGACCATTTTTAATATATGAATTTTGTGCTTAGTTTGCTTAGAAGATATTTAGATATGGTTCTAACTAGCAGCTCCCTAGAAGGTACAAAGGTGGGCAGTTAAAGAAATGAAACCTTCAAGTCCACTGAAGAGATTACAAAGTGGAAGACAAGTTAGTGAACTGGCATCAACTGATTTTCAGGCTCAGCAAATCCCAATCTAGATCACCCTGAAAGGCTATTTTCTATTTCAGATCCCCAAATGACAAAGACATTTAAGCTAATGATAGCAGAAATATCATTAGACCCAAAGGCAGCCCCAGGACCCTTTGTTTCTTGAAAGGTACCTGTTGCAGGAATAGAGGAAGTTCATGAAGTAAGCCCATAAGCAGACAGTGCAAGCAGTGTCTCTCCTCACTCTGCAAAGAATGTCCTCACACCTCATGGTAATAGAAGGTTTTTCCTATAGCCAGTGAGTAAACAGTGAAAAACAACTTCTCCAGCTTGCTCTGCTTTCCTGATCTGTTTGTCGCTGGAGATGACAACAAAACATTCCCAGTCTTGCTAGGAAGACCGAGCAAGAATATTCAGGCCATAGAGGAGACGCTCCTCTCAGACGTGCATCAGAACTTCTGTATCGTTCTTGTTTCCCCTGGTCAGCCTGGTGAAAAATCAAGCAAAGAGCAAAATAATTTCTTTAGTTACTTGGTATGGTCGAGATGACAGACCCACTGCAGCCTTCAAGTGGAGTGGACAGGCTTTTTCTAGCAGCACTGTTTTTTCTGTCCCAGCAAGCCAGAATTTAGCATTAGACCTTCTATTTCTAAATCTGACTGCAGTGACCAGCAGGGCTTTAAAAGACCCTGGCTAATCTTACCTTTATTTTACTTTCTTCTGTGATTGACCATAGTTACTTTTATGATCTCATACAGGCTAGATGTGTGAGCTGGACACACAACAAACCTGCCCAGCCACCAGTAATTTTATTCAAAGCATTTTACGCTTAAGGGTTTCAGCTCTGTTCTCTGCACAACTGTCAGAATAACAGGTACTTCTTTAATTTTAGAAGTCTTTGACCCAACTACAATTGGTGGGTGGAATTTGTATCTTGCAGTGAACTATTTGCTAGTTTATGTGTGTCATGGACTTGTTCAAGACTTGAATCAAGTCTTACGGTCTGAGTGACAAAAGGGCATAACTCCCTAAAGTAGCTACTTCTAATGATAAGGCTGGTTGTAAAAAACACTGCTTAGGTAGGTTAAGGAGTATCTGCATGATTTGCCAAAGCGGAACCATTTCTTTGCTTAAGACTAGATCACTGTCTAATAAAGCTACAGCTGCATCTGCATTTCAAGTTAAACATGTCTGCTTTATTTCTAGGTAATAGCTCAGCAAGTTTCAGAGGAGAATTTACAGGAAGGTCGTCTGTACCCTCCGTTAGTTACTATTCAGCATGTGTCACTGAAAATTGCTGTGAGGGTAAGTCATTTCAGTCTTTTGTGGCTTCTTTTCTTCCCACTCCCTCTACATAATTGAGCATCTGGTTTGAACAACTAACACACCTTCACACAAGTTGAAGTTGGTTTATGTCAATCAATCTTGGACAAGTAGCAGTTTCAAAATTACATTTAAATTCATAAATGTAAATTTAATCCAAATACAAAAAGGAAAGATACGGAACTATAGCAAGTGTTTACATCTGTCCACCAAACGGTACTGTCCACTGGTTAGGAGCAGGTCCCCAGGCTTACAGTCATGCGAGCTGCACAGCTGAAGGCTTTTGGCTCTTCATGATTATCAGTTGCCTGTCAAGAGAGTAAATGTCACCCTGTGTCCGGGCACTATTCCCTTTTGTTCCCATCCTTACTCTGGCCTATCTATATAACTAACTGCCCTATCAAAATAACTAACCTCAGGGGGGCTTTTTGTTTATGGCTCAGGTTTAGGTCGGAGGTTGTTCGGCTGGTTGATTCTTACTGGGAAATACAGAGTTGATGCAGATAGATTTTCAGTAATTGACCTAAACGCACAGTTTCCCGAGAAATCTGGCTGCCCTGGAGGGAAGAAGAAGAAGCTTTCAAATAATGCATTTACCCCAGTTCCTCCTCATTCTGTTTTTGGTTTTTTTTTTCCCAAGCATTTTTAGGAGGTTATTTTGCTGGTCTTCTGTGACCTTTTTTGCTCCAATTATTGTTTTCTCTCTTGGTCCTCTTACTGTGAGTAATTCCACTTATTGCATATTCTTTTGAAAGAGTAACAAGGAGCCCTCATGTATGAAACTGTTCCCCTAGCTTCACTCATTCTGTATATTAAAAAAAAGGAAAGTCCTTCTTGCAGTTCACGTCGTCTTAGGCAAGTAATAACTCTGTTCTGTAGAAGGCAAAATGTTACCTAGATTCCCCAGGCGAAATCAAACTGCCTGTGTGTTTGGCAGAAATGCAGTCATGGAAACTCCTCCGCTACTTGTGTGTGTGTTATATAAAATACAAAAAAGGAAAATATTACCAAACAATTCTTTCTGCCTGATCTCTGTTGAAACTTTATTCCTGCAAATACCTATTCTGGCTCATACAGCTCAAGAGGTTTAGCGGTGGCCTCTGCCTTTTCCAGGTGAGGAATACTCTCAAAATTTTTTGGAATACCAAACGTGGGGAATAAATTCAGACCTCATTCAACCATGATAATTATGTGCACAGACCTGAAGATGAACTCTTACATAAACACCCGAAGTGCTTCTCAGTCAAATCAGGTTGGGCTTCAGATTAATCCTAGAAAGGAAGTCTAACTACGGTAACTTGGGGTCTCAGCTTCTCACCAAGCTAAAACATTTATGTTTTAAAGCAAGAGCTAAGGAGAGCAGGAAGGAGACCGTCTTCCTTTTATTCAAAGTAGGAGCGTTTGTCTGTTTGCCAAATACAGTTTGAAGCAGATCTTTCCAAAGAGTGCTGCTGCGTAAAACCAGTCTGTCAAACTTCTTTTGTTTCGTAGATGAATGTCCAGTCAAAAGAGTGACATTTCTCAAGGTGTTCTTCAGACGTGAGAGGCTACTTTGATGTGTTGAGTGGGCTCCAACCCCTCCTAAACTTCATTTTTGTTGCAGTTATGATTGTGATGCATAATTGGTTCACTTAGGTATGGTCTGGGTGAGGAAAAAGCAAGCAAATATTCATATTTCCCCAACCATCTCCAGAGTTAAACCTGTGCACTGTGTAGTAGTAATTTTTTCTCATGAGTTTACCTGTAAGAAATATATTATCAAACTAGGGCAAATAATAAACTTCTCTAATATGCAGGGAGCATGGAGGCTTTGAACAAATCACACTTTTCTTACAGTGCTTTGGAGAAGATGGTAAACCAGGGTAACCTGGTGATGGAAAAGCAGAAATTGTATCTCAGTGCTTGAGGTTTGTGGAATATTTTATCCACCGCTGCACAATAAAAGCTATTACTGGATGAGGAGGAGCACTGTATTTGTAACAGTAAAGACACATAATCCTGTTCAAAAGTAGCATGAATCAGACTCACTTAAATGTAAACATCATCCTGTTCCTAGTCGTCTTCGCTGTATACTAGCTCAGATCCAGGGTGAATATAGGTGACCATCAGCACTGGAGAAGATGAAGGTCTTACCTTGATTTTGAACCAATTCCTACTTTTAAATCCTGTTAAATGTACTCAGATAGTTTATCAGCACTAATTAGGATTTTAATGAATCTTTTCCAGATCGCAGAAGAAGCCTACAGGAATAACACTGCCTCCACCTATCCTCAGCCCAAGGACCTAGAAGCCTTCATCCGTTCTCAGGTTTACAGCACCGATTATAATAGCTTTGTGGCTGACTCCTATACCTGGCCTGAAGAAGCCATGAAAGTAAAACTGTAAATATTTAATGAAGAATGAACAAACTAGCAGCAGTTAAAAAGCATTAAAATACTTAGAACATTTCTGCTTAGGAAGCCTAAGAATAGCTAATTTTTTAAGATGCAGAAAACTTTTTCTAAATTGTAATATGTGGTTAGAAACTCAGATCAAGAAACCATATTAATTATACATCAGAAAATAAAAATTAATCTGAGAAATATATTTGTGGTGTTTGGTTATTTTGATTGTTGCTTTGAGATATCCTACACTATAGTTTTACAGATCTTTTTGTTATCAAAATAAGGGGTTGTGCCTTGAGTTGAGTTTTGTCACAAATGTCAGTGAGAACTTAAGCAGACAAATGGTACCACAGAACATTAAGAAATGCATACAACGACTGTTTAATCCATTACAGTCACAATGTAATTTGCATAAATTGTCAAGCTATTATTTAAAAAAAAAACTTTAAAGAACAGTAAGTTTAGAGTATTTTCCTCCAAAGAAAAGCCTGTGTGGATTTCTAACGAGAACTGAACCTGCAGAACCTTTTGTTCACATCTAATTAGAATGCTTTAATGTTACTTAGCTAAGCTAAAGTCCTGTAAATGATTCAATACTTCATTCCCCCAGCAAGATAACTGCTGTTTTGATACAATGTAATTGTTTGGCCTAAAGTTCCTGGAAGTCTTTGGATTCCGTGTTCTTGACAAAAAGGGAGTATCAAAATGCTATAAATAGGCTTCTTTTTGACTAAGTATTTTCTTACAAACATCAGTTATCTGGCTAGTAGTAAGTCTTTTAAGTACTAAACCTAATTAATTCCTGTAGTATTTGAGGCCCATGTATTTTTAAACACACATCATATGTGATAAAGTATTATTCTTTGTAACAAACTTCCAAATCACCTAGCTAAGGTCTACTAGATAAGTAATTTTTATGGGGAAAGGAGTATATCATTATGGGGGGAACAAACACATTTTATTAATTCTTTGATATTTACTGAATGTTTCTCTTGCTTGCTACTATTTGAATGATCTGGTTAGCTCAATTTCTTCAGTATGGTCTTTAAAATAGTTTTTACAACTTCATTGATAATTCAGCATGCTGAATATGCTCATTTACACACTAATTTCAACTCAAGAGATCTTACTTTTTTTACCCTTTCTCATCTGTCAACAAAAAAAGTTGTCAGAAGTGATACCTGGCAATGACCCTTATTCTTCTGCAAAAAAAAGTGGTTCCCTCTGCAACGGAAGCACCCAGGGACACTGCTCATGACCTGCATTATTCTGGATTCATAATTAGCATTTCCAGAAATAAAAGTCATGAGTCTGTGGTTTTCCTTAGGAGGCTGCTTGATTGGATTGTACCATCAGTGGTTTCCTCCTTTAGAAAAAATGAACGAACAAAGCTTGTGCTCAGAATAAAGCTTTAGACAGCTCTAACTCCGCGTTGTTTGACCATTCTCCTGCAGAGACTTTCTGACCTATGCCAGGGTTGCCTTTCCCATTTCCTTCTGGTTGAAATCTCGTGGATAAGGCCTATTTCTAAACCGGTTTGTTTTGCTACTTTAAAGGAAAAAGTTTATCATTTGGCAACTTCCCAACAGGACTGAATGCAAATTGTTTCATTGTTTCTGAGTCATGATCGTGTGGAATCTGCGCTCATACATCAATGTTCTAAAAAACCCCAAAGAATTATTAGTTGTTACAGAATTACCACGCCAAGAAAAATGTAATATACTTTCTGGACAGTTCCGGAAACAAAGTGTACTTGAATATTTTTTTCTGCGATCGTGCTATAGAGGTATCTCTGCAAAACCAAAAATGAATTTTAATGGTCCAGCCCCTCAGCTCTGCAACAGCTGCAGACCCCAGGCCCTGAATTCACAAAGAGAAGGACTTTCTTCCTCATCTCGTAACGGGAACCTGTAAACCTTTTTTGCCTCACTGTGCTTTTGGCCAAAGTTATCGTCATATATACAATATACCTACCACAGTGAAGGAATATACTGAGCATTCTGAGCTGCACTCATCAATCTGAGCAAACAGAAATACTGCCATCCTCTGTATTTCAACATATTGCTATTATGAAAGAAGTACTAAAACACTTCCTTGTGTTTTATTTGAAATAAAATAGTATCTTTTATTTTTGTATTCATCAGCTGAGTGTACTGAAACAGTCTTTAAATAGCTGCTGTCGAAATGGCCCATTTTTAGATTTGAACAGCCAAGCCTCTGCAGCTCAACAGTACATCTGCTTTTATTGCTCGATACCGATTTTCACATTATGGTGCTCAGAGTGGAAGGCAGTAAGCTGGTGGTTCTTTAAGGCACAGCTACTGGGGACTTTTCAGTAGCATTCTTCACCTATGAACCAACCCAAGCTATTCTATGATTCTCACTACTCTGTGGGAAAGCGCTGCCTAATGAGCCATTAATATAATTTCCTGTTACAAGCTACCGGAAAATTGTCTCTCAGTATTAATTTGACATAGAAAAGATTGGTAAAGTTGTATGTATTTTTACTGAATATATACTATATATATAGTTTTTTCATTTTTATATTTTTACATGTATTTTCTTATGTAATGTAGGGGGAAAAAAGAGGAAACACTAAACTTTGTCTCATCTTACACATTTTCAAGGTGCTTGGCCTAACAATTTAAATGTAAAATGCCGTGAGTTAAGCAGCTGAAAAATTACTGTTAACATAACCAGTCCGGAATGAGATGATAGGAAGAGGATTGTGAAAATGGTGATATTGGCAATATAATTGTATAGTTACTACCTAAAGCATACAAGGGATGGGTAATGTTTGCTTCTTCCTCCTCTCCCCCTCCTCCCCGCCCTTTATTTAAAACCAAAACTTGGTCCTGTGGTTGGACACACGCCTTTGCATTTCATGGATTAGTTGAATGAAGTGAGAGCAGATGCTTCATGAAGCAGCAGAAGACATTGCGTGCACTAAGCCATGAACGTAGCGGTGAGATTTCATTGAGCTGGGTGTGCTTTTGTATTGGAAACCATATTAATCTCTGACTGCAGCCACTTTGGTATCCCACAACTGTATGTAGAAGCTAACTGTGGGTCTGCACCGCAGCTTAGTAACACACAGCACAGTATGGATGAGGAGACGGAAGTGTGGAATTCAGGATACTACAGTGTGGTATGCTTATCACCTTGCAAGCACTTTGAGGTATGGGCATAGTGACAAATGCCAGTTTTAGGGTCTCAGAAAATAAGTAAACACCTCTCAAAAATATACGGCAATTCAGAACATAAGTTAAGATTAACTATGTGAACTGTTCTTCTCGTATGTTAAACAGTTTCCCTTTTCACAGTAGCTATAAGGCACAATATTTCAATGTTAGCGTCATCTCTTGCTGTCCAAAATTAGAACTACTTACACAGTTTCTCTTATTTGTCTGAAAGTTTGCCTTCGACACCAAATAAAATCTGAAAAATATGTCCACTTTGATGTTGTTTCAGGAATTCTAGGAACTGGCCAAGATCCATGTGATAGTCATTCCTCAGGCCATAATCACCATGTGCTTGAAACTGTAGGTCTTCAAAAGCACGAAAGAGACGAAGATTATCGATGCTTCCCTCTGTTTCTATGTTCTCCACGTGCTTGCATGAAATATGCTTCCAGTTGGGATACCTAATAGCATGCCAAAACTCCTCACAGCTTGCTCGGAGTCCCTCCACACAGATCACACCAGGTTTCCCTGTTAGGCAGAAGCCAGTCAGATTTAACTTCTTTGCACAGTCAAAAATCTTTTTCCTCAGTTCCTGCCTATATATATGATGGCTGTAGATCCACATGCGATGCAATGTTTCTTTAACTACGACTTCTTCTGAAGCACTTTCAGAAGAGACCTTACAGTCTTCCAAGTAAGGCAGGCTGTTTTCTTTCACCCATTGCACAGCTTCATATATACACAGTTCACCTGAATCCAAAGAGCTGACATGAGAAGCGAGATGCGTGTTGAGCCGCAACTGTTGCTGTCTGTGCAGTGCATCTGATCTTGCAAAAAGCTGAGGAGCTACCTGAGGATACATATGAGGCAGCAGTACCTGCAATTCCACTTTTACCTTAGAAACAGAACACACACACAAAAAGAAAATTAATTCTGCAGCTACTGAAACACATGCTAGATTCTTCTTCCCTGTCAAAGGCAGATAATGAGGAAATGTAATTAAGATTGTGACATCCTACAGGCTGGAATTACTTCTTCTGCTTTCCTTTCATCTGCTCCTTTTCTGTTGTTGTACCATGCTGGGAATTTCCCAACATATCTAATGTTTCTGCTGTTTACAGAAATAATGCCGTGGCTTGAAAGAAGGTACACAGTTGCCCTCTAGGGATATTTCTGGTGCATGTTCTCAGTACATGCTCAATGTTGCTACAGCGATAAACTACCCATCTGCCAGAGTCAAGGGGCAAGTGGCTTTTGGGACTTGTCCCTTACCAAACGCACATCTCATCAATGAACTCAGCCCCACTGCTGGATCTACCCCAGGAAAACAAGGCCAAGAGTTATACGAAACAGTGTTTATGATTGTACATCATGTATATAGAGGCATGTGGCAGGGGGGTTGGAACTAGATAATCTTTAAGGTCCCTTCCAACCCAAACCATTCTATGATTCTATGCATTACTACTATTTTAAGCAAGTATTCACCCTAACAGAGGAAGCATTCTCAGGATTATAGGGGATAAAAAGATTTACGTGCATTTTAGGCCAAGGAAACGTCTAGATTATCTTGCCTGATCTCCTACAAACCACGGGCTGTTGAATTTCTCTTGATTATTCCTACAGTGTCTCAAAATGAAGCACCTCAGTTCTTTGGAAACTGAACACCGCCTCTGGTCCAAGAGCAGGAGAGGGTTCATGTGTCTTTAGTACTCGAGACTCTTGTGTACCTTTAGGGGACTTTTACTATAGTATACAATCATATGATTAGTCCTGCAGAGAGAAGTGAATTGTGAAATGATAAATTATCTTTCCAAGTTCCTTGACAATCTGCCATGGAAAAAAAATTCTTCCTGCAGAAGCCCTCCCTACGCAGTTCATAAAACTTCTCTCTGAAGGCTGGTGAAAGGGTGCATTTTAAAAAGATACCCAAACTTATACATAAGTTTCCAAATAATCATGAGGCCACCTTGTTACCCAGTAAATTGTTCTGATGTTTAATTATCCTCATTCCTAGGAAAATGCATATACTTCTAGGTTGGTTTGTTGGTTTTCAATTTCCAGTCATTGCATTATTATATACTCAGACCTGTACCACCGGCTATGTTCTCTTTATGAGTATTTACATCGCTTCGCTGTCATATGTAACCTTTTCTCCAATAGAATAAACTATTGGAACTCCTTATACTGTAAGTTTGGGGGTTTGTATTGCAGTTTATAGGCTGGTTTTGTTTTAGTGTTTGTGTGACTCTTCTTAACAGTATTCTGCCATTTGGGGCTATTTTTACATTACCGTATTTCAAACACGGCTCAGTGAATGTCAGTACACGTGGCAAGGAGTGGAAGAGAGAAATAATAGGGCGCTTTTGCTAGAATAATGTGAAGTCCAACATATGTATTCCCATAGGAAGGAATACATGGAGCATTGCCTTTGTAACACACAACTCTTTGTAAACCAGTAAACTAACAATGCTCACGTGGACACAACCCTACCTAAGCTCTTATGATTGCTGTGTGTGCACCACTGATGTCAGTTGTCTATTCCTATCTGCAATTCTATTAGCCTTTCTTGCCCAAAGAAAGTTAAGACTCAAATAAAGAATAAAAACTAAGACTTGTTACTCTTGACTTTTGAAACAGCAAACAGAAATTAAGTGGGTTTTTTCCCTTTTTCAGGGCAGAGTTTTTAAGTGTCTGTACAAGGAGTAAAGGAAACAACACACATGAACACATCTACGTGGAAGTTCTCACCTTTGTCTCCCCTACATCAATAGCGATTGAATATTCGAGCTGTGGGGGCAAAGCTCCATCAGCTTTTCTCAGGTAGCGCTGCACGCCGGGCACAGCATCCTCATCCAGATTTATTTCACCTTTTTTGGGAAACATTGAAAGGAGCATTTCCACTTCCAGCAGCTGGAGCTCCAGGCACTCTTGCACTGTGACAGCCATTGCACTGCCCTCCACACACACCTGGAACGAGAGGCCTGGAGTCAAACCCCGACGTTTACCATGAGGTTTACCACTAATCCGTGCAACCGAACAAGCCGGCCTTCGCCCGGAAACCCCAGTATTTTTTAAGGACAGAATCTGGATTAAATACGGCTGGGTACAAAACGCTTACTAGTGAGTCCCTTACAGGCGTGCTCCACAGCCAACCTGGAGAAAGGAGCCTGCGCCAAGGAGGGGGTGGCGAAGGGGAGGCTTCCTCACCTGGGCCGCCCGGGTTTCAGACGCCAACCGGAGCAGAGGGGAGGCGACACGTCTCTGATGCCGCCTCCCCGGTGAGGCCGCTGAGACGA